ATTGCAGAGCTATTTCCATGGAAACCCATGAAATTCAGAGAGTAAAGTGCTCCCGTCAAGTTTCTGTGATTGTCTACAGAGCTTAGATCCCAGCCTCAGTCTAAAGAATGAAGAATATGCATTATAAATGGTGACCAGTTTCAAGACTATTTATTATACTGAAAGTCCCATATCTCTGGAATACAGGGGAGATACATCAGCTAGAAATAATCTTTTTTACAAGACCCAGAAGATCTCCCCGCCCCACCCGTTTTGTTTGAAGATGGGAGTCTCACTGTGTAGCCCAGGCTGCCCTCAAACTTGCAGTGATTTTCCTGCCTCATTCTCCCCAGTGCTGGGATGATAGGTGTGTGCAATCACACTGGCTCACTGTTTATTTCAGAAGTTCCCCAACTTCACTGCACCAAATCCAAAGGGTTTCTTAATAGTTCTTTTTATAAAGTAATTAGATCCAAAAACTTAATAAGTACTTCTATGCCGACAACTTAGTAGCCATTTGAAAAAAGACCTACAGAAAAAATAATACACATACTATACACTGAAAAAGTACACATGTATTTCAAGTGTATAATAGTATACATTAAAAATAACAAATATACACTAAATAATAGACATGCCTTGAAAAATACACATTTTACTTATACCTTTACTTCTTTCTTAAGAACTGTGATCGAATGACTCATTTTCTTGAGTTCTTACCTTTCATTCTTAAATACTACAATTCTTCACCATGGCATGTGTGCCTTTGGAATACTACACAACTTTCCAGACCTTGGAATCAGACTGAACACTGCTACGCTCATTTTTTCTACAATGATTTTCCTGGGCTGCTTGGATTTTATCGTGGCAACTGCTATGAAACCAGCTTCACAAAGGTATATTGTCATTGAAAGGATTGTAGGGTCATATAATATTAAACATGTAAACTTTCTTGAGCTGGTCGTTCAAATGGTAGCTGACAGCTACTCAGCATCACTGTATTACCTTTAAAACCTTTAAATACATAGCCCCTCCATGAATTCATGAGGGTGCTCTGGACACAGCCTGGGAACCACACGTTAACTTAACAAGAAGCCTGGAGTAGTAGTCTGGGTGGGTCTGGTGTCTTGGCGATGCTGCCAAGGAATCACTCTCTGGCAAGTTGCGCCTCATGTCTTGTGATGCCAGAGCAGCAGCACTTCATTCTCGCACGACAATCCAGCTGTCATCGCAAGCAAAGGGGGAAGGGGAATGTCCCAGATAAAACGTGGCCCTCTGGACCTGATGGTGATTAGAGAGACATAATGAACTGCTGTCATTCAAATAGGGATAAAACTTAAAAGCTTTGGTCATGCCAATCAGGGATTGGAAGGCTGGGATATTTGCCACCCAAAGAATTCCTTAGGAAAATACCATTTCACTCATCCCCAGGGTTTTCCAGTGGTTTTGAAGGTCGGTACATTATGTATGCGAACACTAGGCAATAGAAAAATTTTCATGTGCTGGAAACATATTGCTGTACTTGAATGACCGTCTGACTTTCTCTGGAGAGCCAGTGGTTTGCAGGTGTGGAATCTGTCTTTGGCTCTAGTGAGGAAGGGGCATGGCTAGAGGACTAATATCTAGTTGGCCTAGGAGTCAGCGAGGATGTGGTACCTGATTTGAGATTTGAATGAAGAGTTGGCCAAGCGGGCAGAAGAGGACTCTAAATTGAGAGGGCAGTGTGGCACTGGCAGGGAGGGTGGGAGTGTGTGGCTTCCCCGGTGAACTGGACAAGGTTCTTGTGGCAAGGGATGAATTGGAGGCTAGGACTTAAGGCCAGTGTGGTTGGCTAAGGAATTCTGGTTTTGCCTGGAACCCATGGAAGGCATGTGAGACAGGGAGGGATGTGGATAGATAATCTGTGGGACAGCTACAGTGTGGTCAAAATTGCCTGGGGTTCACACAGCACCTTTCTTTTTCCTCCTCTGCACACAGCTGGACTGTTTGCAGTCAGGTGGAAGTCACATGATCAAGTTCCAGCTCATCAAATGCAGCTGGCAGGAAGAGTGGTCGTTTCCAGGACTCGCTCGCAGCTCTCTCTAGCATGACCCTGTGCATTCTCTTTCTCCATTTGCTGGACAAGATCCGAGGACTTCGAGGGTAGATCTCCAGGATGCCAGTGACCTGGTTCCATAGGTCACCACTTGGTAGAAAGCCTGCTATGGACTGCTATTGGGGCCATGGAGCAACCCTTATTATATGAAGGCACTGCAACTCGGGAAGGGGTATTTGCTACAGCAGCTGGTCTATTCTAATATACGTCGCATGCATGGCTGCGTTCATGGGGTCTCGCTCTGAGTTAGGTCCTATGCCAAGCGCATTGTCTCAGTTCACCCACAGAACACATCTTTGGGGATGGTATCACCATACTTCGCTGTTGCAGAGGAGGAGACCGAGCTGGACAGAGCAGATAGCAGGTGAAGGACAGAGAGTTCTGATCCCCAAATCCATCCTCAGTGCCCAAGCTGTGCCCTGCTGGCTCCAGCATGAAGGGAATGCAAGAAAACTGGCTGACACAGAAAGTTAGACAAGAAGTTATTACAGCAATACAGCAGGGAGCTTCTGCCTGCGAAATGGGCACAATAGCAGGTCACTGTAATACTGGTGGAATGAATCCAAGGGGTTCAGCTCAGGGGTTCTGGCTGGTGCATAGTGGATGTGAGTTTTTGTTTTTGTTTTTTTAAATGATGAAAGCCTGGGTGAAAACAGGAGAGAGTTGCTCTGAGAGCCACACTGGAAGAGTTTGAGCAAAGAATGAAGGAGCTAGCAGAACTGAGGGTTGGATGACTATCTTATCTTGCTGTTTACAGGAACAGGGAAGGAAGGGCCAAGAGACATCTTGTACGTGAGCCGTGGGGTAGAAGGGAGAGAACAGAGTTAAAGATAATCAGCAAGTAAGCAGGTCCAAAGCCCTTCGAGTTGTACAGATGCTCAACAGAGGGCCCCGCTCCCCGGGGTTCTGGCTGACATGGCTGTCAGCAAACTGTAGAGTCCTTGACCAGTCGAATCCACTTTTTTCCTGAAGAAGAGACTTTTAATCTACATGACCAAGAGGGAACCATTTAACTTCTTTGTGCCTCATTTTTATCATAGGGGAGTGGGGATAATAAGTAACAGGATGTGCCTAGACGATTGTTGTGAACAGAACAGGGTCAGCATGGAACTGGATATATAGTGAGCAGTCAGTAAATGTAGAAACTATCATTAAAACTCCATTGTCTCTAACAGTATTTTCTCTATCTACCTCTATACCTACAAACACTCCGATAATAGCACTGAGCACAAAGCAGAATCTTCTACTTTCTTGATTACTGTTTCCTCTCCAGCCAACTCAGAATAGTGACAGGCTCACAGGAGCAGCTATTTAAATATGTGTTGGATGAATGAATGAGGAAACATCTTACCATTTTTCCTCCCCCATCTCCTTTCCATCCTTCCATCCATCCATCCCTCCACCTTGGAAAAGAGTGGAGTAGGTTAGCTGACAAGTATTTCTTCTTCCAATAGTGGTAAAATATACATAACATAAAATTTACTATTTTAGTACTTTCCCATGTACTGTTCAGTGATGTTAAGTACATTCATGTTATTTTGCATCCATCTCTACCATCCATCTCCGGAACATTTTGACTTTCCCAAACTGAAACTCAGTGTTTATTGGATACTATCCCGCTATCCTCTCTCACCTCCAGGCCTGTGAGCCACCATTCAACTCTTTGTACCTATAAATCTGGCTACTGTGGGTAGCCAAATAAGTGGAATCACAATGCCCTTTTGTTAACAGCCCACAAGTTTTACTATCATATAATTGTGTGATGCTGAGAAAGTCAACGTTTCTGAAACTCTATATTCTCATCTATAAAATGGCTGCACAAATAGCATCTATATCATAGTGTTGTTGTGAAGGTAAAATGAGATAACACACACAAGGCCCTTAGCCCAGTGCCTGGCACACTGAAAGCCTTCAATTAATATTAGTGACATCTAACTATATGTATTCTACATTAATGAACACTAGTATTTATACATGATTTCTATTGGTGTGTTCTAAAGGAATGGATGTGAGCATCATGTCTGTCATGTGTCCGGCACTGTCCTGGGCACTTTACAAATACTAACTCACTTAAAACTTCCAAAGACTCTGAGATGGGTTCACAGATGAGACAATGAAGGTGCAGAGAGCCTCAGTAACATCCGCAAGGTTGTATGGCTAGTTCATGACAGAGCTGCGGTTTCAATCCAGGCAGCCTGGGCTGGGGTTGTAGTTAGTGGCTAAGTGCGCACCTAGCATGCATGAACTCTGGGTTCCATCCCCAGCACCAGGCAAAACGTCCAGGCAGGCTGTCCCCAAGCCCATGGTGGGACCCCTGCTGACAGTGCCACTTTTCCTCCATGGCTTTGTCCTGGGGGATCATCACCTGTACATCTGGTCCTGGTTCAGGCGACCAGGGTGAGCACAGGTGACCGGCCTCAGACAGGAGATGTCTGTGGGAACTACGGGAAATGACTACAGAGGAGTTTGTTGTGTATGTATGCATGTATGTGTGTATGTATGTATTTGCTTGCAGTACTGGAGATTAAGCCTATGGCCTTCACCCTGGACTACATCCCCAACTCTCTCTCTCTCTCTCTCTCTCTCTCTAGCTTCTGAGATAGGGTCTCACTAAGTCACTAAGTTGATCAGGCTGGGCTCGAACCTGAGATCCTCCTGCCCCAGCTTCTCAAAGTGCTAGGATTATAAGCCTGTGCCACTCTGCCCAGCTGTGCTTGCTGTTATTCAACACGGGCAGCTGCCCCCAGAGAGCCCTTCCTGTGCCTATTTACAGATGCTTGTCACCTTTGGTCTACAGGGAGCTGGGTCCACCTCCACGGCCCAGGTGATGAAGCAAGCCAGTACCTCTCCCTTTCCTGGCAGAAAGCCCAGCAATCCTTGACACCCCCCCCCGCCCCACCTTGTTGAGATTAGCTTCCTCTCCCGGATGCAGAGCAAACTCCCACCCACACTTTATTGTTTTCTCAACACCTTCACTAAGTTCCTGGCCACTTTAAAAGGGGCAGAGCCTGTAGCAGGATCCTGGATCGGTCCTCCAGGTCAGCGTGTGCTGGATGGCAGGCTGATTCTCTGCAGCCCTGGCAGGAGCCCGCACCCTGAGCCTCTTCACTCTGATGTCTGGAGAGGTGAGCCACAGTGGCAGCTTGTGCTCCCAGCCTGGACTGGAGCTCCAACCCAGGATCGGGCTGGAGCTTCTGTCTGGGCTTTCCTCCCACCCGTTTCCTCTCCCTTTCCCAATGGCAGGTGTCTACATGTGACACTCGGCATAGCAGCGGCAGGGCAAAGGAGCCGAGTATGGGGGGCAGGTGTCGCATGTCCTGGTATGATCGGTTTGTGCAGCCCTGCCTGGTTGAGCTGCTGGGCTCTGCCCTCTTCATCTTCATCGGGTGCCTATCGGTCATTGAGAATGGACCAGACACCGGGCTGCTGCAGCCGGCCCTGGCCCACGGGCTGGCCTTGGGGCTCATCATTGCCACCCTGGGGAACATCAGGTGAGACCAGCTGCCTGCATTCAGCCTGGTGCCAAGTTGGGGGCACTGCTATTGGCAGGGACCCTAGGTACACCAGGATTGCAGGGAGCACTGTGGGGTGGAAGTCAGACTGCCTGGGGTCACCTCCTAGCTCTGCAGCCTGTGAGCAGGTCACTCTCCAAACTCAAATGTTCCCACCTCTAAGGGGGAAAAATAGTGCATTTCTTCAATTGTTTTTCCAAGCTAACCTATAGTGATTGCTAACCTTGTACCAGGCAATAGTCTAAGGATGTCTCAGATTGATCACTACTCCTTATGCAGTCTTGTGGGGTTCCCATTTACCTCTGGGAAAGAGAAAGGCAGTGTCACTTGTCCAAGGGTAGAAAGTGGCAGAGCTAGGAGTCAAGGCCAAGCCCTGTGGTTCCAGAGCTCACACCCCAGGGCCCCCAGGAGGACGGAGAAGAGCTTGACCTGGGTTGCTCTGCTGTTGCTACTGTTGGGCGCTGTTAGGCAAAGCAGAGAATGTGCTTCTGCTTAGGTATGCAGGTGCCTGCAGGGGTCCCAGGCTGCCAAGAGTCGCCAGCCGGGAGAGGAGGGGCAGGTAGGAAGGGCGCTCCTTTGGCTTTGCTCTCTTCCAGATGGGAGCTCAGTGCGAAGGGGTAGGAAGGTGTGTGTGGGCTGTCAGGACAGCCTAGTTAACGACAGGCCTGATCAAAATGATTTTTTACGCTAAAGGACACATTACCATGAATCCCCCTCAGAATCCTCCTCCTTGCTTCAAACACACTTATCCCATTGTTCTTGCCACTTTCTGAAGCAGCTCTGGAAGTCCTCTTTCCGGAGTCTTTACCACGCTGTGAGTGGAATGAAAAGCACAGGATCTTCTGTTCAGGTGGATCAGGGCTGAGCGCAGCATTCGTCACTTCTTAGAGAGGTGATCATGGCAAGGGTCTGAACCTCTCTGGGTGCAGTGGTGTAAATGTGGATATACTGAGTACTAACTACATAGACAGGGTTATGCGCTGTCTCTGCAACGGCCTTGTCAGGTAGAGATCGTGGTACGGAGTCTTGGGGTCACTTTCCTTCTCTAGAGAGATCCATTCTTGGGAACCAGAGGACTCAATGGGCCAGCCTCTGGGAATGGACCCTTCATCAGAAGGCAATGGGTGGGACCCTGATGAAGTCCAAGGGCGGGTGGGGCTGGGACACCTTGGCTCTGGGGCCTGAGCAGTTTGAGTGTCTTGTGAAATGGTTTCTTTACCCATGAGGAATGGAGAGGCCAGGCCACCTGACCTGCCCCTGCCCCTGGGCTTTGACTTGTCTATCTGTCATCCGTAACCCAGACTGTGATTCCCAGCCCTACCCCTGATTCTCAGTGTCATTTCCAGCTGGAATGTCTGATCCCAATTTTACGTTCATCCCACAGTAGCTCAACAAATCATAGGCTCTTATTCAGGACCTGGCTATTCATATGACCAAGCCATGAGGGCTTTGGTGATTTGAAGCCTAGCTTGGCCTCAGTGTGACCTGTGGCCACAACTCCAAAGAGCCAGAGGGAGCTGCGGCATTCTGGGAGGAGTTCAGGCAGGGTCTCCCACATGTTTTTCCTCCAGGGCCGCCCTGCGGTCTGGGCTTATGGGCTGCTCCTCCCTTCCCTGGCTCTGCCCCTGCACTTTTCACTCCACCATCTGGCACCTCAGCCTGGGGGCTTGGACTGACTCTGGCCCTGAGAGTCCAGCCATTCTCTCACAGTCTTTTGCTCAACTCTGGACCCTGACCTCATGACTTCCTTCCGCTCTCTTCTGCTACAGCGGTGGACACTTTAACCCTGCAGTGTCGCTGGCGGCCACACTGATTGGAGGCCTCAACGTGATGATGCTCCTCCCCTACTGGATCTCCCAGCTGTGTGGGGGGCTGATTGGGGCTGCCTTGGTCAAGGTGGGTGATCCCCAAGGGGCTGGGCTAGTGGTTTTGCTTTGACAGAGCTGCTGGAGTTGTGGAGAGTCGAGGCATGTGGGCAAATGTTCGACTCTTTGGTTCTTTTTGCCAGTAGAATTGGGTGGCCCTTTTCTACTGGAGCCAGGCTCTTTGGTTCATGCCAAAGCTACCCTGTTCTACCCATGTCTGGCCATAGCCCTCTCCTGAACAGACTAGAAAGCAAATCCTGCACTCGGCATGTCTCCTTCAGAACCCATTTCTGGCTTTGGAGTAGATGTGAATAATTCTTATGTTTTTTCATTCCCTAACTCATTCACTCATTTATTTGTTCATTTGTTCTACAAATATCTCATGAAGCACTGACTGAGGATACCAGATGAATCTGGTGATTCTCCTTGAAAAACTCTTGAATCAACTCCTCTGCCCACCTTTAAACTGATTTACCTTCCATGGGAGTTGCTATTCAATTTATGTTTAGAATCCACCCATCCAACCAAGAAAGCTGGTTCTTCCTCTTGGTTGTGGAATTTTTTGAGCTCTATCCATAACTCCATGGGTCACTTCTTTCCCTTTCTCCTTGTCTCTCTTCCATTTTCCCTCTCTTTTGTTTCTTTTCTCTTTCTTTTGCCCTTAAGTCTCAGTTGAAGATGTGGGCCTTGCTTGGTGCCTGTGAGGGCTTTTGGGGAGGATGGGGGACCCCCGTTAGCCTGGCTAGGGTTTGGTCTAAGGCTCTAAAGTGCTGGCCTGGCAGACTGGTCTCAAACCCCACGCTGCTATCATCCTTGGCCTCACTCCTCCTACCTACTCAAGCCCCCAACCCTCCTGTAGGAAGCCAGTCAAACGTGCTGCGGAGCACAACCCTCTTTTACCCCAAGCTCTAAGGAATAGTCAGCCCTTAGTGAGCGCTTCCTGTGTGCCATCACCACTGTGTGTGTGTGTGTGGTACTGAGGATTGAACCCAGGGCCTTTGCACTGAGCTACACCTCCAGCCCTTTTTATCTTTTGAGACAGGGTCTTGCTAAATTGCTAAGTTGCCCTTGCTGGGCTTAATCTTGGATTTTTTTTGGTACCGGGGATCAAACTCGGGACCTTGTGCTTGTGAGGCAGGCAGTGGCACCATTGAGCTAAGTCCCCGGCCCTGCTGGGCTTAATCTTGTAATCCTTCTGCCAGAGTGCTTGGAGTACACGTGTGTGCAACCATGCCTGGCATTTTGTAGGCAAGGAAGTGAGGCAGAGACAGAGGCATCTTGCCCAAGTTCAGACAAGCTGGAGAGCGGCAGACCTGAGGCTTGTGTGTCCCTGGCCGGCTGTGCTGTGCCTGTGTTCACAGCAGGCAGATTTCCTGGCAGCAAGTGCAGCCCAAGCTTCAGGCCTGTGCTTACACAGGCTCCTTCTGAGGTCCCATGGCGTCCTAGTGATGTGCTCACCTGGTCGTACGGGTAAAGTTCTGAGGGGTAAGATGTTTTCATTTTCTTTTTTTCCAAGTCACCTAAGTCACATAAGCTTCAGGCCCGTGACACCTGGAGTCAGCAGGTAATCCATTTTCCAGATGAGCAAAGTGAGGCTCAGAAAGGTCTACTAGCTCCCTCAGAGTCACACAGTAAAAACAGGGGGAGCAGTGATGTGGACGCCAATCTGTCCAACCAGAGGTGGGCTCCCCAGGCGTGCGGCTGCAGTTGCAGGCCCCTCTGCTTGGCTCCTGCCTCTCCCTTCTGGCTGTCAGACTGCACTCTGTCTCTGCAGGCCATCAGTCCTGAGGAGCAGTTCTGGAATGCCTCTGGGGCGGCCTTTGTGACAGTCCAGGAGCACAACCAGGCAGGCAGGGCCCTGGGGGTCGAGATCATCCTCACCACACTGCTGGCCCTGGCGGTGTGCATGGGTGCCATCAACGAGAAGACGAAGGGCCCTCTGGCTCCGTTCTCAATTGGCTTCTCCGTCACCGTGGATATCCTGGCAGGGTGAGTCCCTCAGCAGCAGGTCTGCTGCCTGGATCCAGGCTGTCTTGGTTCTGAAGGAGGTCAGGCCCAGGAGCCCCAAACTCAGTTGCCAACGAGGTCCAGGAAGTGGCTGCAGGAAGTGGGGTGGCTGTGGGCAGCTGACAGGGAGGGGTGGAGACTGGTAGTTAGGAAGCTCTGGTCAGTTATGGCTGTGTGAGAATGTAGGCCTGGGGTGACCCTTCTAATTTCATTCAAGTAACGTCAGAAATTCAGTCAATTAAAGGATTTTTATGCCAAGTTTAAAATTCTGTGCTGTGACTAAAACACTTCTGTGTGTTGTAGCCTCAGGGTTACAAAGATCATATTCATTGTCTCATTTCTTTTGAGCCCTTGCTAGTCCTGGGAAGGCATTACAGAGACAGGTTCTTGGTAAGGGAGGATTTCTCCCATTTTAGAGATGAGCACACTGAGGCCTAGAGGGGACAGAAGTGATAGATTTAAGGTCACTGGGCAGTGGCAAACCAAGAGGCATTCCTTTCTGCTAAAGGGGATGTGGGGTACTCCCTCTTATGTCCACCTCCTTCCATTCTTCTGGATGCAGAACCAGGTCTGGCCGTTCTCCAGGGTCATAGTCTGTCACCTTTGAGAGGTGTCCTCTAGGTTGGGCTGGGGAGTGTGGGTCAAAGCTGTGGTGATACTTTGCTGCCCCCTAGCGGTGTTTGAGTAACAAGACTACTGAGCCATCCCTTTGGCTACTGGACAGAGTGGGACGGGGTCTATGGGACCCTAGCCTGAGTGGGTAAGACACAGACTGGGTAAGGACACCAGAACCCCGGAGGAGATTCTGGGCCTCCAGTGTTCGGTGTGTAAGGGCGTCATCTGGGCCAGCTTGATTATAGTTGACACTTGCTGTACATGAACCATGTAGGAGGCAAGGGCTCTATACACACTGCCTCACCCACTCCTGACAAGAGCCTGTGGGAGGGGTATTTTCACCTCAGCAGAGACTCGAGGGGTTAAACCAAGCTCACGGAGCTACAACCAGCTGGGCTGGGCACTGAATGTAGGTCAGCTTGACTCCAACATGGTTGCCAACTGTTTGGCTTTGTTTTAGACTTTGGAGAAAAACTTGATCCCTTTGTTCTTCCTGCTGTCACTGAGCAAGCATTCATGCTGGTCAGGCTGTGTGGGGCAGGGAGACGTGTCCCAGGAGGAGACAAGCCTTTGACTTCCTGTGCTAAGAGCTTCTCTTCCTTCTCTGGGACCCACCTGGGAGCCCCTGATAGGGAAGCTTCGGGGACAGGGCTGGGAGAGCTGTGGCCCAGTGCCCAGGTGGGGTGTGGGTTTGTGTGAGTGGGGCTGGCGGGGAGCTTGGTGACTGTGTGGCTGGATCTTTGCAGGGGCGCTGTGTCTGGAGCCTGCATGAACCCTGCTCGTGCCTTTGGGCCTGCCGTGGTGGCCGGCCACTGGGACTTCCACTGGATCTACTGGCTAGGGCCACTTCTGGGTGGCCTGCTTGTAGGACTGCTCATTAGGTAGGTGTCTAATGGGCCTGTGACAGCTGCCGGGGAATCCCGTGTGTGAGGGCTCTGTTCTCCCTTGAGTTTGGAGAAGGACACAGAGAGCCTTCTTCAGAAGCAGAGAATCTGGGTCTTTTGAGGACCTTTGGTTACAAGTGACAGAAATCCATCTCAAGGGGAATTCATCAGCTCCCACAATTGGGAAGTTCACAGGTAGCACTGGCTTTGGATGGTGCTCAAACAAAGCCCTTAGGACCTGGGCTTTCTCATAGGCTGTACTTTCCTCAGTGTGGGTTTTATGCTCAGATAACTCTCTAGTAGGGGCATGGATACCCACTGTCCATCTGCACTTATATCCTAGCAGCTTAACAATTCCAAGGGAAACAAAACAACAGTTCTAGCCAAAATCCTGTGGCTGGTGCTTATTAGTTTGGCCTGGCCTGACCCAGCTTATGCCCACCTCTGCATCCTACCCTTCCCAAGCAAATAGGAACCTTATAGGCTGAGGAGCATGAGCCCTGCCTTGGAGTGGGGCTGATATCAGCTTACCTGGACAACCACAAATAGGATGGAGAACAGGGGAGGAGTAGTTCTCACAGTGCTGTTGTAAAATCTCAGGGCCCGTCCAAATCAGAATCATGTAAATGGTGTCCCCAGGATTATGCAGCCCAGGAGACGGCATTCAGACAAAATACAGCATGAACAGTGCTCCCTAGAATTGTGCAGTGGATAGAAAGAAGATTGGCTTGTCATTATCAGAAGAATGAGCAGATTCTCGGTAGAAAAAACAAGTGGACTTCTATCTGGCTTGACCTTTAGTCCTTGAGTTCCTTCTCAGGTCCTGTTTCTGCTCTGGGTGGTGCAGGGATCACTGTCCAGACTCAGTACACGTTGGTTCACCAAATACTGTCTGGGAGGGGACAGGCCGTGGACTGGCCCATCTAGCTGCCTGCACTGCCCAGGGGCCTCACGAACCCCAGGGCCTCTAAAAGGCCTTGTGGATCCTTCTGTGTCTGCTGCTTTCAGGATGGCAGCAATGAGCATTTTCTAAGGGAAGACAGAAACCCCAGAGAGAGGAAACTATATCCCACACTCCAAGGCTGGAAAAGCTCAGGAAGTCATCCCCTGAAGGACTTGGGGCCTGACGGTAGGAAATGAAAGGCTGTTTGGCCTCCAGGGCCTTGGAGACCTCATAGAGCCACGTTTTTCCGTAGGTTCTTCATTGGAGATGAAAAAACCCGCCTAATCCTAAAGGGCCGATGAAGCAGAGCTGGTGAGGTTCCCCCTGTCCTGGCTCCCTCAGCTGCCCCGCCCTGGGCTGAGGACAGACCAGACAGCTTCTGCATCTCCCACAGAGAAGAGGCTCAGAGGAGGGACTGACCTGTTTTCTTGGATTTGGGTCTGGCTTCTGGGACAGACAGGCTGCTGCTAAGTCCTAAGAAGGCCCCGGGTCTTGAAATACTTCTGTGCTAAATGGAGGCCTCAGCCTCGGAACATGTTGGCAGAACTACCAGAGAGAGGTGGAAACAGCACGGTAAAGGAGGTTTTTCTGGAGAGGGAAGGTCTCAGGAGCAGAGCCGCTGGAAGGAGTGGCTCTTCCTGTGCAGGAGCTGGCTCCCGCCCGCCCCGCCCCTCTGCTTTCTTCAGTGCTGGGAATCCGGGCCAGGGCAGCAGGCATACCAGACAGGCACTCTGCCACTGAATCGTACCCCAGCCCTCCTCACCTCTTCTCTTCCTTCTGTTATTCTTTGGTTCCTGTTACAGAAGAGCTTTTGGGAGCCTGACCACCACCTTGCCTCCCAAGCTGCCGATCTGCACAATAAACAACATTCCTTCCATGTGTCCATTGGCTTGTTTTTCATTTAGGAGAGGGCACTGCCAGGGAGGACCTGAGAGTCTGTGGTGGGGCCTTGTGCATCCAGAGCCTGGCTAAGCTTAGAGAGCCCAGCTGCTAGTATCAAGGTAGGTTCTTGGAGCCTGGTCCGACCCAGAGGCGGTCTCACTTAGCCGGGCTCATCCTGGAGCTCGGTTTGGAGCTGAGAACCCACTTGGACACTAATCAGTCGACTCCAGATCATGGACCTCAGGACCCTGCTAGAAGCCAGTGCACAGCCAGAGCCTGTTTGAGTGCTCAGCACTGCTGGGACACAGACCAACACGTGCATTGCTGGCCAGGGGGTGGGGGTAGGGTACAGCCGCAAGACTTTCCAATGGAAGAAAATCCTGAGCAAGAGATATAGAACAGGTCTGCAAAGAGTGGGAGACAGAATGATTAAGAAGAGATTAACACACATTCAGAACTGCACACCTGAGGAGAGTGTGTGTTTTCTCTGTAAGAATCTATAGGTCATCTGTGGAGGAGGATCATTCTGACACCATAAATAACTGCCAGTGAAAAATCATTCTCAGCAACAAACACACACCCAAAACCACTTCCGCAAGATGAATGAAACACCTGCCTGAATGAATATGAAATGCTCACTAGGAGCTGGGCATGGTGGCACAAGCCTGTAATCCCAGCACTCTGGGAGGTTGAGGCAGGAGGATTTTAAGTTTGAGACCTGCCTGGGAAACTTAGCGATTTAATGAGACCCTGCTTCACAATTAAAAATAAAAAAGGGCTGAGGAGAAGCTCAGTGTGAGGCCCAGGGTTCATTCCCCAGTACTGCAAAAATCCAAACTAATCCAAAACAAAACAAAACAAAAAACAAAAAAAAATCACTGGAGAAAACCATTGTTATGGTTTGTGTCTAGATGTCCCTCCAAAGCCTCATGGAGTCTTAGGTGGGGCCTTTTCAGAGGTGGCTGAATTTAGAGTGTGGGATGCTGGGATTAAGGGTGTGTGATTACTAGACCTGCACACTGAGAGGTTTGGCACCGCCCTAATCCTGGTGGGTGGATAAAAGGAGCAGAAAGATGCTGCTAAGGTTCCCTTGCTGCTCTTGCTACCATGTGGGTACCATGAACAGTTTCTCCTCTGTGACGCCCCTCAGCCATGGGCCACTCTGCCTTGGAGCCAGCCAATTATGGACTGAAAACTCTACAAACTGTGAGCTAAGTAAACTTTTTCTCCTTTAACTTTGGGTATTAAGTATTTTGTCTCAGCAAGGAGAGAAAAGTAACTGACACACCAGGATAATCACAGACAGCCTATGATATCTATCTATCTATCTATCTATCTATCTATCTATCTATCTATCTATTATCTGAACACCCACAAATTCTCAGACAAAAAGAGTACAACAAATAAAGATAACAAGTATAAAGAAGAGAAAAAGGGGGAAAATAATTTTACAAAATCAGAAATGAGAAAATTAAAATACTTACATAGAGTAAAAAAATGTAAGTTACTGTATAATTTGGGTGAAATAATGTTTGACAGATCTAGTAAATAAGAAAAATTATATATGCATATATGTATGTATACACAATAGTGTCTATAGCTAGCATTTATTGTTTATTATGTATCAGGCACTGTATTGAATGCTTTACGTACATTATGTCTTATATTTCTACAACAATCCTAGGTAGTGTAGAAGGTGTTTCATAGTGTCCCCCAAAATTCATTTGTGTCCACTTGGAATTTCAGGATGTGACCTAATTTGGAAATAGTTTTTGTAGATGTAACTAAAGTAAGCATTAAGATGAAACCATACGGGGTTAGGGTAGCCTGAATCTAACAATAGTGTCCATATAAGAGAGAGAAAATGACATACACAGACACAGAGTTCTAGAGGATATCACATGAAAACAGAGGCAGAGGTTGTGTTACGTTGTCACAAGCCAGAACCAGGAGCCAGGAGGTGGAAGAGGGAAGGAAGTCTTTTCCTTGGGAGCTATGGGAGGGAGCATGCTCCTGCTGACACCTTATCACAGACATCTGGCCTTTAAGACTGTGAAAGAATAAACTTGTCATTTTAAGCCAACAAGTGAGAATTTCTCATCGCAGCCCAAGTAAATAATACAGGTAGGTACTCTTATTCTTATTTTCCAGAGGAGCCAATTAACCGAGGTTCCCAGAGATGTTACCCAAAGTTAGTATGTTGTAGACTCAACATTTAAGATCATCGCTGCAGAGCCCATGATCTGTGCTATTACACTTCACCCTTTCTGGGTAAGGGACAGTATTGTGTCTTTGTTCTTGTCTTTTAATTGATTGTTTGTCCCCCATTAAAAAGGGAACAGAAAGACATGTATTAGAACTTTGCCCTTCCGAGAGAAAGAGGGATACAAATTCACCTTTGTAATTCCACATTATGGGTTTTCAGCTGAGAAGGGACTCAGTAAGTGGGAATAGAATAGGCTGATCCCAGTGGCTCCCAAACTCATTCTGACCCGACAGAGTAGAATCCAGTATTGACTCTGCTCACGTAAGTTCACATCCACGTTAACTTCTTTTCTCAATAACAAGGAAAGGAGGTCAGTCATAGGATTTTAGGATGTTAGAGCTAGAAACATTATACTAGTAAAATGCGGTGACAATGAGTTTGGATTCTGAGAAAGATCTAAAGTTTAAATCTCAGAACTGCCACCTTTTTACCATATGGGCTTGAAGAAACTATTTCACTTCTCTCAGCTTCAGGTTTTTTTTAATCTCTAAACTGGAAAGACTGCCTCAGAATGCTGGTGAGAATTAACTGACATGTTTATAAAGCATTAGCATAATGCTTAATACATAGTAAGCCCAGAATCTGCACTTACCTTTTTTGCCATCCTATTTAAGATTTTGCAGTTTGCAGGTTTCAGAATCATGGCAAGGGGTGGAGTTTTGGCACATATGTTTTCCATCAACTATTCTTGGATAAGGGTGTTTAGGCTTCGCATGGGGAGAAGGTTGGGAATCACTCATCCTGTCCAGGAGGCTAACTAATGTGACTATCAGTAGTGACAGAGTTCAATTAGAATCAAGGATTCTGGATACAGAGTCTAGGGTTCCTTCTACTGCAACAGGCATGCATTTCCTGTTCTACACCCGTGGTCTGAGTACTGATCTCAGGTGAGTTCTCACAGGCCACGTCTTTGGGCAGCCTAGCATTAGCATGTTTGCACTTCTCCCTCACCATGCTGTCCAGAAACTCTGGGGGTTTAAGCAATCCAAAAGGGAAGTGTACCTATCTTCCCCTGGTCAAAAATCCCCCCTGGCACTAAAACGAGGGTCAGCCCGTTTACTCCTATAGTGTTCAGTGGTTAATCCCAGATGTTTGTGGCCCCCTTTTCCATTATAATACAAGACTTGTGGAACAACATACACGGTGACACACAAAAAAGTGGCAGATTGGATAGCCAAGACTGATTCGGGAATGTATTTAGTCAAGCCCTTGGTGCAAGCAAACCAAGCATATCAGGACCAGGTCTCCTGGCTTGAAACCGTGGGGCTGGAATGTCGCAAAGAGGTTTTTTTTTGAGCCTGTTGTGTTGTAGCCTGGATCGCACTCTGAAGAATCTGTGAGGCTTAAAGAGACTGAAGTAAAGAAGCACAAGAATTTTCTGTTATCTGTTCAAGGTTTAATTTAGGGAGGAGTGGCGGCTGCCTCCCATACAAGATTTTAAAAGGGATAAACTTGTCAATATACTGGGTACATCTAACTCTTAACAAGGCTAGAGGAAGCAGATTGGGCCACCCTCTGCCAGTTTCTAGAACGTATTTAGTCAGGGATTTTTTTAGGGTTTATCTTTTCCACTTGCCCTGAACTTTGTGGGCGATAGGCACAGTGTAACTTCCAATCGATGTGTAGTGCCCTTGCCAACAATTTGGATATCTGTGCCGTGAAGGCAGGCCCATTGTCGGACCCCAGGTAATGAGGGATGCCAAATTGGGGAACTATCTCCTGGAGCAAAACCTTAGTTACTATGTTGGCTGATTTTCCGTGAGCAGGGAAAGCTTTTACCCAACCTGAGTAGGTGTCAACCAATACCTGTAAATATTTGAACTTACTGCTGGATTTTATTTTGGTGAAAAGTTCCCAATGTTCCCCTGGCTCTTTCCCTGTAGTCAATTACCTTTGTTTCTTGGTCTTGCCTTGGAGTTTACCTGTGTACACACCTGACACCTGGAACTGATGTCCTGGACTATAGAGGTCAGTCCTGGGATTGAAAACTTACAGCTCATTAGTCTTTTTAAAAATTAAAAAAAAATTTATTGGTACATTTTAGGTATACAATTTGTTTACATTTATCATTGGGTGTTTGTACCTGTACGTGATGTATCTTGGTTCTTATTTTTTTCCCCATTACCTGTGCGCCCTTCACCTCCTCCGCCCTCCCCTATCTACATAGATTTCATTTCCATTTTTTTTTCTTTTCTCACAGTTTTTCCTTTCCCTCTTTTCCTTTCCCCTTCCCCTCCCTTC